CTGTCTGTCTGTCTATCTGTCCGTCCGCCCGCTCGCCCGCCCGTCCGTCCGTCCGACTGTCTGTCTGTTAGTCTGTCTGTCTGTCTATCTGTCCGTCCGCCCGCTCGCCCGCCCGTCCGTCCGTCCGACTGTCTGTCTGTTAGTCTGTCTGTCTGTCTATCTGTCCGTCCGCCCGCTCGCCCGCCCGTCCGTCCGTCCGACTGTCTGTCTGTTAGTCTGTCTGTCTGTCTATCTGTCCGTCCGCCCGCTCGCTCCGCGCGCCGTCCGTCCGTCCGGCTATACGCTGTAACACGCGTGCTGTAATGACTCTACCAGCTCTGACACGCACAAACCCCGGCCCGCGCAGTCGGCGCGTCGTCCGTCCGTCGGGCGTGCTATACGCTGCTGTAACAGGCGTGCGATCATCGACCCACGCATTTTACAAGCGGTGTAGTATTTCATTAAATAAATAAGAAGCGTAAAGCCGCACGACCAACCCAACCAACTCCAATTACGACCGGTCTCTCCACTGCTGGCTGGCCGAGCTCGCTGCACGTGTGATCACCCGTGCGGTGCCAGCAAGGCAACAAGAGAAGAACACGATAAGACCAAGAGAACAACACAAGAGGAACAAGTGAACGACGGTCTCGCGCGGTCGCCGGACCGGAAAAGACTACATAAAATTTGAAACTTACGAGTAGTAGTGATTCACGCACGGTTTTACGACGACGCGACGTCGTGTCGTGTGCGCAATAACTCGCGTCTTACAAGATGCATCACACGAGATGCGACCCATGATGATTATTGCAACTGGCGCACTGACTCCCTAACTGCGAAGGATCTAGTAACGACGCGAACCGTCAGCAGAAACATTGCTAGCCAGATGCTAGTTACTGCACATAGTAACCATCTCTTACTACGTCAACACTACAAAGTTCAACGCTATATATATACATATATACATATATACAATATATATAAGTAGCCATGATTCCACATAAAGTTAGAGATCAATTGCAATGACTTTATGCCGGTGATCAGGGAGTGACGGGCAGCGAAACCCTGACCACCATGCGGATCGACGAACATCAAAACACTACCCGCTAGCTGCACGCATCGATGAATAAATCTCTCCCATCAACCAACTACACAACGGGATCGGTGAAGCACCCACCAGTGATCCACGACACGGCTATCGCCCTATTTAGTACATAGCTCACCACGAGTAGGTGAAGGAAGCCAACTACACAACGGGATCGGTGAAGCTCCAGTGATTCCGCGACACGGTCATCGTTAAGTACATATAGCTCACCACGAATAGAGATGGGAATCCAACTATACAACGGGATCGGTGAACCACCACTAGTGATCCGCGACACGGATATTAGCACGATTCAGTACATATAGCTCACCACGAGTCGATGAAAAACAACAACTATACAACGGGATCGGTGAACGACCAGTGATCCGCGTCAAGGGTATCACACGTATTTAGAACATAGCTCACCACGGGCAGATGAAAGAAGCCAACTACACAACGGGACCGGTGAAGCACCATTAGTGATCCGCAACACAGATATTAGCACGACTTAGTACATGGCTCAGCGCGAGTAGCTGGGAAGCGGTCCGGAGCTGCGCTATTACAGCACCAGCACGGGACAGCTGTCCGCGTGGAAATGCCGACAGATGGGCGACGCCGTGCCACGCCGAATCCCCTCGTCCGTCTGTCCGTCCGTCTGTCTGTCTGTCTGTCTGTATGTCTGTTCGTCCGTCCGTCCGTTTACCAGTGCGCACCTTCCATCTGTCCGCTCATCTATACACATCAATCCAGCGAATACATAATTACATAACAAATAACTAGCTGTTGCCAATTACAGCCTTATTCACACAAATGCATCGTACATATACGCACCCACACATGCATGGTAGAGTTTGTACCTACCTGTTGTATTGGAGTGACCCTGGTGGTGAAATGTGGAGCATGACCTGTTCCCCCATAGCTGGAGAGGGTGCTACCATTTGCTTTGCCAGAGTTGTAGCACTCGTGCTCGTGAGAGCGCTGTGCGTTGACGGATTTGTCCCTCGGACGTGCCCAAAAGCACGAACAGTCATCCATCGCTCACCCCTCAAGTGCAAGGTCACACGAAAACTGAATACTAGCCGGCTCTGTATGACTATAACTGTTCCACTGCTGTTCCACTCCTTAAAACAGGAGCAGCTCGTGTTAAATCCTTAATCTTGAGCAAACGCATCCACGCCACATGTTGTTCCATGCGCAAGGGTTTCTATCCAAGTAACGTTCACAATAACGCGCAGGCAACAAGAGAACAGGCGTTTTCTTTCGGTAAAGCGTGTTACTACTTGTAGAGCTTCATTAGCCTGTGCCCAACTTCAGTTTCACCATCTGTTTCCGTAAGTATGTAGCCGCCTAAATGTTAAAGTAACAGTTCGGATTGCTAGCTGCTATCTCATGCTCGCAGAGACACAACACAACATAAAATATAAATTAATCCTATAAAAAATAATGAAATGCGATTACACTAAGTGTGATTTTTACACTACCGCAAATAAATTCAAGGTTTGCGTATATATATATATAGCTATTTACATTAGATTGCATAGATACATTGATACATAGATGACGTAGAAGTCAGTTAATCTCGGCCTCTGTCTTTGGAGACCTATCACCAGGACCTATTTTCAACCGGATGACTGACATGGATCCTGACTGACATCTGATCTCGCTCACGCATCACATAAGTTCCAACATGGCCGCGATTAAATCCGCCATCGCTTCTCGCGGCCTTCAGTAACACGCAACGCCGCCGGTAGATGTCGGGACGATCTGCACCAAGACACTATTAACTTTGTCCGGCGCTCGGATGCTGCGACCACGTCTATAGATGCATCTCTACGCAGCGAGGAATCAACTATCCCTTCCATCCTCTTCCCTGCTACAAACACGGCACGTTTCGTGCTGTGGATACAGCAGCTGAATGCACATCGATGCACATATTCAAGATCAATTTCAACAGAACTTCGGAAGATTACGTATTTAAACACAAAACGCTAAGCAGATAGCTGAACCTCCCGTATTCGCTATCTGGTGACGTGGTAACTATCACGTGAAACCCCCCAAAACCCTATTGCCATTCAGCAACAATTCAGCACGCACAGTTTGCCCATCAGCAAGCGGAGACTGAGAGAGAGGTTAAGCAGCCTATAAGCACCGTGACTTAAACACACGGCACACGATCCGCCAGCAGATATTTTACGTGTGCACGCCTGCCTGTATCGACACTTCACGTAAGCGCTGCTTCCGCTGAGATACGGGTGACTTACGCACGCACTCTCGCCACCGCCATCACTCCGTCGTCGGTAGCATCGCATGCGATAGACTTCAATCGAGAGCGTCAAGCTGGAGAGACACGCCGATTGCTGATCGATGCAGTAGTGACAGCCGCAGACCGCGCGCGCGACATATCGAGTTTGGAGCAGGAATACCGCCAGCGGCTCGGGAACGTCGCGCGAGAGGAAAACTACAGTCTGGCAGAGCGGAGGAGCCTGGAGCTGAGAGAGCGACGTGTTACGAGACATCGCAGCTGATTCTCTCTCTCTCTCTCTCTCTCTCTCTCTCTCGCGCGCGCGCTCTCAATGCCTTTCTCTGTCTGATGATTCCAATATCCGCACGCTATGTAATATTCCCTGTATGTCACTCACGAGCGCTCTACACATCGTACATGAATGTCCACCATCAGGTCAAACCATCGACACGAATTATTCCACGCCAAGAATGGTACCTTCCGAAAACGTTATCCTTCTATTGAACAGTTCGTCGCAAATGAAAATAACTTGATAGATTGCACAACATTTATCACGAACCACCGATGCCGGAAAAAATCCATATACCGCGGCGATTCGGCTCACTTGACCAAACCTAGACTGGCACCACGTCGCCGACGCCAATGCTCTCAGCTGCTCGCATCCGCAATGCCGCATGCGCACGGTGCGAGCTGCGCGCCCGTCGATGGCAGTCTAGCGAGCAGCGGGTCAAGCCTGCGGGCAGTGGTGGTGGTGACTCGACGAAACAGATGGAAAAAGCAGCACGATCGTCGTCTGCTGTGCGCGTGCATGAATTATCGGTTCCCAGAAGACTCGCGGCTGCGCGCGCGCCGTCAGCCCGTCCGTCCGTCCATGCACGCGCCGCCGCCGCAGCCACGGAGATGCATTATTTACCGCCGCCGTGACAGCGGCTCCCTTCGCCATATGCACGCCAATTATCAAATTCAAGCAGCGTACAAATCTCTCACTTACACGCCGGCGCGCTCCCGACACTCACAGCCGGGCTCGGTCACAGCCTCTATAGAGTCTATATACCACAGCACCGGTCACAGCTTCTATAGAGTCTATATACCACAGCACCGGTCACAGCCTCTATAGAGTCTATATACCACAGCACCGGTCACAGCCTCTATAGAGCGTGTACACCACAGCACTGGTCACAGCCTCTATAGAGCGTGTATACCACAGCACCGGTCACTGTCTCTATAGTGTGTATGCCAAAGCAGCAGTTACATACTCTATATAAAGTTTATCCCACAGCATCGGTTATACATACTCCATTATAGAGTCTGTATACCGCAGTAGCGTTGACATCATTCATAGAGCGAGCATCCACACAGTCTGTACCACAGCGCCATGCCGCCGTGCATCAATAGACCCTGTACCACAGCATGTATTCCTGTTTCCTCTCAACACAAACAGAACTGGCGAGAAGCTAAGGTTTCTGCCGAAATCTGCCAACATGCATGTATATACCGTGTAGCGCTGTGGCGAGCCGGGGAACACCGTCTGCCTGTAGTCATCGAAAGACTGACCAGCTCCCATGACGACAAGCTCTTCTCTTCTTCCTCCTCCTCCTCATGCGCCTCCGCTTCCTCCTACAACTAACACAAGCTACTGCATCTCCCCTACTTCACCTCCTCCGCCTCCACCTGCACTGCCAGCACTAAACGTGTTCATAAAAAACTACCAAAATCACTGGTGCCAGTACTGACACCCAGCAGCTGGTGCGTAAAGCAAACACGCTTTGGCCGTATATATATGCGTATACATACGCGCGCACACACGCGCGCGCACAAACATACACAGGCACGCACGCATGCACACGCACACGCACACGCACGCACGCACGCACGCACACACACACATACATAAACATACACATTACACACACACACACACACACACACACACACACACACACACACACACACACACACACACACACACACACGCACACACACATACTCATATATAAACACAGTAACACTCCGTCCGACTTTCTCTCTTTCTCGGTCTCTCATTCTCTTCCTCTTCTTTCTCTACCTATATCTATCTCGCTGGCTCTCCCCTCGCTCTTCTTTATCCCCACTGGTTTCTTTCCGACTCACATATGTGCGTGCGCGTGAGTGCGTTTGTGCGTGCGTGCACGCACATCTCTTTTGTCTTTCTATATCACTTTCCCTCCTTCTCATACTTTCTCGTACGCACGCACACACTCTATTTCGCTGTGCGTTCTGTTTCCCCTTTTTCCTGTCTCTCTTCCAGTATTTCATTGTGTCTCATTATCCCCTTTCCTCTTTTCTTGTCCCTACGCATGTCAGTGTTAAGCAACATGAAAAGGCGCGATGGCACGAGTAACTATGGACTGCGTCGTCGGCACGTCGGCCAGGCGGCACCGCCACGCAGCAGCAGCACGTTGTTAGCTAACATAACCGCGTCGTCGGCACGGCGACTAGCGACGTGTAGCGACTGGCGGGATCAGGGAATACGCTCTCGTACCAATTACGGAGCTCGCTGCGCGGCCGCACACTGCCTTCGTTATTGCCGCGGGAGACGACGACGCCGTTGATGCTGCCGCAGGTAACCTATACGTGACGTCGCCTGCTGCGTCTGTGAGGGATGAGGAGTGCGCAGCATCCGTGCAGCGACACTAGCAACGGCAGCTTCACGCATGCGAGCATCGCAGCTCGCAAACTCGCGGTCACGTCGCTAGCATGCAATTCTGCACTCGCGGTTACAAAAAGAAGGAAACACGGGCGACAAAGATTAACGATGCTTAAAGCCGCCGCTCGCGTTTGTAATTAGCAGCGATGCAAATGACGGGGTCAATTAGCAGCTTGCTCAGCATGTATAATTGGGAGGTTGTGATGTTCTCGCATTCATAACCTATGCAATTTGACAGCATCGCTGTAGGCTCGACGTACGTAGCTATCGACTCAGACAAATACAGCAAAAATGTTGTTTCAATGTCAGTGAATCTGCTTAGCATATCCTACTACACAGGTCCCACAGAACGTTGTTACAATGTCAGTGATTCTGCTTAGTACCCTACTACACAGGTCCCACAGAACGTTGTTACAATGTCAGTGATTCTGCTTAGTACCCTACTACACAGGTCCCACAGAACGTTGTATCAATGTCAATGATTCTGCATATTCTACTACATAAGTACCACAGAATGTTGTTACAATGTCAATGATTCTGCTTAGCATATCCTACTACATGGGTACCACAGAATGTTATTACAATGTCAGTGATTCTGCTTAGTACCCTACTACACAGGTCCCACAGAACGTTGTTTAAAAGTTTTAACCCATGTAACCAGAATCGAAGCTGTACACGCGGCTGTCGTCCGTGGCCGTCACGTATGCGAAATTACACTATCTTTCTTTCAGACAACGCAGTCACTGCAGCCAAACCAATTTAGTTGATCTTGGAAATAACAATAAATAATAACACGTGTATAAATCCGCTTCGATCTCCTTCTGACACTGACGCTCTAATTCGATGGATTCGATGATCTGATTGGATTCGATCAGACAGGACATTGACGGGCCGTCACGTACACAAATTAAACTAACAACTGTACTTCACTTATCCCTGACAACGACAAATGAAGCCAAATTCGCCAACATCTGCTAAGATTCCACAGACCTCCATGAGAACGGGACCAGGATTATCCAAACGCTACTGGTCCAAGAAAATTAGCAGAAATATTCACAGGCACCACGCCCATGGCGTAACCAGCCGAAGCCCCACTATACTAAAAACGAAAAAAAGACGAAAAAAAGTTAAAAGTTAAAATATTAAATGTTAGATGTGGTGAGAAGATACACTTTGATATCCAACATGCGAACAGTTTAAAACTGGTACAAGTAGCAATACTCCGACAACAGTTCCGTAACGCAGCCCACACAGTAGCACTCGCACAGCCTGCCCTAGGCATATAGGTAATCCTGCTGTGCGTGCGTGATTAGCAGAAATTTACGATCGTGCGCGCAAATATCCTCATTACCTGCGATCATAAATGCATATAAACGTCGGCGAATAAAATTATAACAACGAACGCATCTATCCGCTATCCCACTCATAGCCGCACATAATTATAGCACATCACACGTGCACACATTCACACGAGAAGATTCAGTGCTCCATACTCCCGATGCGGTGATAGTACAACGACTGGCGACAACACGCCGAATACGCGACGTCACGTTACGATCTCCCGTTTCATTGCGCGAAGTC